TTTTTTTTTTTTTTTAATATCATCGTTTAATACTGTTGCTGTTATATCTCTGTTTTTTTACTCATGGAAATTGTATTATGGGTTTGACAAAGAATTAAATGTCTTCAGATAGAATTTTTCTCCAATATTTTGCTTAGTTATATTTTCCATTAAGCCATTTGGCATTCCATGATCCTTTGAAGTGGCCATTTTGTAGTTTTTAGGGTAATGATAAGATGATGCAAGTTGTTAAAAAAGAATTGGGGACCGAAATCTCGTGTCAAACTGTTTCAAATGTAACTTGTGCTTGTCTCAGAGATATAAAGGGAGATATAATTCAACCTGTTTTGTAGGAGGAGCTTCTGTTTAAGTATCCTATTTCTACGTACCCGGATGTTGATGACATCACAGCGGCTGTGGATCCATTCCAGAGATTGTTCAATGTGGTACTACGCTGGCAGAAGGCAGAGAAAAAGTAGGCAAAATTTGGAGTCATTATCTTTTATGTATTAAGAAGAAATTACAGTACTAGAAATCTGGAATCTTGAACAACTTTATTTGCATTCATTAACTTTCTGTGATTTATTTTTGGCCTTGTTTTGTTGCCGAAAAACAGGTAGCTTCCCTTAGCGAAAAAAAGGCTTTATTTTTGTAAAATTAAGAAAAAAAATATCTCCCCAATTTTAATGAAAATATCTCTATATTTTCCCAATTCATACAGGCACTTGGTGCTGTAAAATTTAGGTAGAAAAATACTGGACTTAAAATCGTTTCCTTTTGATCGATGACGTTAAGAATGTAAAATTTGAAATAATAATACATGTAATTGATTGTTGATGAGAGAAGATTTTGAATGAAATTAGTACAATGATGAAAATGAATACTTACGAAATCGCAGACAGTGAGAGTATCAAATTTTAAAACAGAACATCACTTTTCTGTCTGCAGATGGATGGACGGCTCCTTTCTCGACCTGGATGCTGAGATAGTAGATGCAGAGGTGGATGATTATAACAGGGAGCTTTACAAGATCCAGAAAGTGTTTTCCAATCGACTCAAGAAGCTACAAATAGAGGTCGATGACCGCAACAGGGACAGGAAGAAGCGCCGACGAGGTGCGGAGGAGAGCGGCGAGGAGATTAAGCCGGAGGACCAGGATGAGGTGCTACATCCGCCACAGGCTGTTGGTGTGTGTACCAACGTCATGGACAGCATGAGGGATTTCAAGGTCAGAATCTTATACAGTGATAATTTTCCTCACATCTTTATTGTTATTATGAGTCCTTATAAAACCGAAATTGCTGATAATCTTCAAAAAAAAAAAAAATTGTTTGAAACAGAAACATTTAAACTAGTGTTTCATGGATAAATTTTCTCAAAATGAATATAGAATGTTAAAAAAAAAAATGTTGACTCATTATAAAATCATCGCTAGCTTATACATGAGGGATATGGTCTCATTGAGGGTTGCTATGCTTAAAAAAAAATTAAAAACAACATTGAAAGCTGTCATTTTTGCAAGGCAGGTACCGCTGTTTTTTACATCTGCCAGCTTCCATGTCTTGTGAAAGAAGAAAGAGGAAACATAGCTTCGGAGTGTTCAGATCTTTATATTACTAACACCAAAGACTGGAAAATGTTGACAGGACAAACATTTGTTTGTATGACAAGATTACTGCAGAATTGAGGTCACATGTAGTTACTTAAGCATTAGTATTTTTATCGATAGCGAAGGAAGGTTTTGACTGAAAGTTCATTGCATTGGTATTTCGTATCGTACATTTATCACTGTACATGATCTTCAATTCAAACTCATAATTCATTGATAAATCTGTCTCATACATGTGCAATTCAGTCCAGTGTCGTAAGTAACAGATAGGATGGAAATAATTTCTTTTGGTCTTGATTTCCAGGATGTGATTCCTGTGATCGGCATCATGTGTAACCGAGGTATGAGAGCTCGTCACTGGACAGACATGTCAGATATTGCTGGCTTTGATCTTACCCCCAACTCCGGAACAACACTCCGAAAAGTCCTCAAATTAGAGCTTGATGCCCATATGGAGAACTTTGAGGGAATTAGTGCTGCAGCCACAAAAGTAAGCCACATTTTTTGCCTTAATCACGCATTATATATTAATCAAATCAAAAATGAGAATGTTTTTTTGATCTAGGTTTTTTTCAAATTTTTTTTATACAGAACTTCATGGCATTTGAAAAAAAAAAAATATTAGAAATTGTTTGCAGATATTTGAATATTTTATTGATAATTGTTTAAATTAAATCATGATCAACTTCAATCAAAGATCATGTAATTTTTAAAAAGTTATATAATAATTAAATGTTTACTGGAGAAATTTCAATGATAAATCTTTATTGATGATTCTGTACCTCTGTTTTGCTGTAATATTTTGTATAGGTATTTTGTTTGTTGATATATCGAATCCGTGTGAATATGCAAACTGGGGAATGAAAAAAAAATACGAAAATATTGACAGACACTGCAAGTTAAGAAACCTTGACTAAACCTGCTGACTACCTTTATAGGAACACTCCCTTGAAAAAGCCATGGTGAAGATGATGGAGGATTGGGATTCTGTCGATTTCAATCTCCTCTCATACCGAGACACAGGCATCAGCATATTGTCCTCGGTCGATGACATTCAAACCATCCTTGACGACCAGATCGTCAAGACACAGACCATGAGAGGTTCGCCATTCATCAAACCATTTGAGAAGGAAATCAAGGCAAGTTTTCTATTCAAAGATACAGTGTTACTTTTGAAAAGAGAAGCTTGTGTAATCTGGACACCTGTATATATCAGAGCTGTAACTAGGTCCTACTATATACATTTCCATGTTACCCTGTATTATCTGGACACCTGTATAAAACAGACCTTCAACTAG